AATTGATGCTTTTGAACTGTGGTGTTGGAGAAGACTCTTGAGAGTCCCTTGGACTGCAAGGAGATCCAACCAGTCCATCCTAAAGGAGATCAGTCCTGGGTGTTCATTGGAAGGACTGATGTTGAAGCTGAAACTCCAATACTTTGGCCACCTCATGCAAAGAACTGACTCATTTGAAAAGACCTGATGCTGGGAAAGATTGAGGGCAGGACAAGAAGGGGATGACAGAGGATGAGATAGTTGGATGGCATCACCAACTCAATGAACATGAGTTTGGGTAAACTCTGGGAGTTGATGATGAACAGGGAGGCCTGGCGTGCTGCAGTCCATGGGGTCGCAAATAGTTGGACACGACTGAGTGACTGAACTGAACTGAATGCATCTATCATCACAATAAGCTTTAGAATAATATCATTGTTCTCAAATTAGATCCCATGTGCCTGAAAGATCACTCTTCAAGCCTTCCACCCTACCCTCTAGGGGTAGACAACTAATAATCTGATTTCTGTATATATTATATATATATATACATATATATATTGTGTATATTTATCTATTCTTGATATTTCATATAAATTGAATCATGATATGTGATCCTTTGTGACTTTTTCACTTAGCATGATGTTTTCAAAGTTTATCAATGTTTTAGCAAGTAATGATACTTCATTTATTTTTGTTGTTGAATAATATTCCATTGTATAGATATCCCATATTTAATTTGCTCATTCAGTTGATAGACATTATATTGTTTCTACTATTTAGCTAATATGAATAATGCTTCTATGATCATTTAAGCCCGTTTTTATATGGGTATGTTTTCAGTTATCTTTCAATTTATGTCATCTCTTCTGCATATATAACTGACAGTAAAATTATTGAGCCATATGGTAACTCTATTTTTACCTTTTTGGGAATTGCCAGACTGTTTTCCAAAGCAGGTGCATCATATTATAATTACATCAGCAGTGAAGGTTTCAATTTTTTCATATTCTCAGTCATATTGTTATTATGTGTCTCTTTCATTATAGTCATCTTAGTGGATATGAAGTATCATCTAATTTGTTGTGCAATTCCGTATTTAGTGATGGTGAAGATCTTTTCATGTGGCTTTTGTCCCTTTATCTTCTTTGAAAAAAAAAAAACAAAACCAAAAACTCTTCAGATCCTTTGACTGTCTTCTAATTGGGTTATTTGTTGTTTTATCATTGAGCTGTAAACTTTTAAAAAGTGTTTTAGATTTCACAGGTGCAACTGAGCTGGGAGGCAGAGCAGAGCTGCCCGGTGTCATTAAAGCCACGAGGCAAAAAGGAAAGAGTTAAACACTTAATCTCTTACTGAAACGGTATAAACAAGAGGCTAAAGTCAGAGAAAGTACTGACTCCCCAGTTCCATTTTCCGCCATGGAACAATGAACCAGTTGAGAGTTGTGTGGATCAGCCTGGACATAGCGGTTGTCCCACTGTTGAGGAAGCTTCCAGCAAAAGGCTGGCAGTTTTATAGACCTTGGGTTTGGGAGGAGAGGAGTAAAGGCAAGGAGTGTGAAAGTGCTGGGCAAAGAGTTGAAGAAGGTACAGCATCTTAAAGTTGTTCCCCTACAAAAGGAGGTTTTAGCAGAGGGATCTACATAGATCTGCCCAAATTTAGGAATGGAACTAGGAATACAAATATGCAAATAGTATGCTCTTAACTAGCCAGAGTACACCTCCTTTCAGAAACTGTAATGCACAGCTATGCACCAAGTCCCATGTGAGGAGGGCAGATTTCCCACATGAGGTCTTCTGCCTGGTAAAGCCTTTGTATTAATAATTGCCTCTGCTCAGATATGAAAAATCACACATAGATTTTTTTTTACTTCATTGCTTTAAATATTTTCTTATCTATACTATAGCTTCAATTTTTAAAAAAACTTTTTAATTTTTTCTTTTTNGATCTTAGTTTTCTGAATGTTGAGTTTTAAGCCAACTTTTTCATTCTCCTTTTCCACTTCCATCAAGAGATTCTTTAGTTCTTCTTCGCTTAATATATGTTGGTATAATTTTTTTTGGTATTTATCCTTCTAGTGTTCTCTGAGCTTCCCAGATCTGTAGTTTGGTGTCTGACATTAATTTTGAAAAATTCTCAGCCATTATTACTTCAAACATTTCCTCTGTTCCTTCCTTCCTTTCTTCTCCTGGTATTCCTATTATGTGTATGCTATACCTTTTATAACTGTCCCATGTTCTTGGATATTCTGTTCTTTTTGATTCTTTTTTCTTTTTGGATTTCAGTGTTGAAGGTTCTACTGACATTTCTTCAAGCTTATTGATTCTTTCCTCTGCAGTATTCAGTCTATTGATGAGCCCACCAAAGGCATTCTTCATTTCTGTTACAGTGTTTTATATTTCTAATATTTCTTATTTTCTTTGTGTTTCCATATCTCTACTTATATTTTCCAATCATTCTTTCATGTTGCCCACTGTTTTTATAAGACCCCTTAGTATATTAACATAGCTGTTTTAAATTTCTGGCCTGATAAATTATAACATCTTTGTAATTATTTTCAGATACAACAACATCTGAGTCTGGTTCAGATGCTTTCTCTGTATCTTCTGTTACTGTCTTTTAGTATGCCTTATAATTTTTGTTAAAAGCTGGACATGATGTACTGGGTAAAAGGATATGAATTAAGTAGGCTGTAATATGGGGTTTTATGTTTATCTGGCTAGGAGTTAGACTGTGTTTCTTGTCTGCTGTAGCTGAATGTGTCAGAAACTAAAATTGCCTCTAGTGTCCTTGTTTTTGGTCTGAGATGTGCAGATTCTCCCACTGTAATCCCCCTGACTGGCTCCAGGGCTGGTTTCTACTTCTGGGTATCTGCTCAAGTAAGCTATGATTCTTTGCATCTGCCTGTCTGTCTCTATAATTTTGGGGGCAGTGGTTTCCCCTATGACCCCAATTCTCTGATGGGTCTGAGAGGAATGGTTGATTTTAAGTTTATTCAGCTTTTCTTTCCACCTGTTGTAAGCTTCTTTACATGCTAGACTGGAAACCCAAAGTTCATCTTGTTCATTTTTCTTCTTTCACAGGATCAAGACTGAAAACATTTTAAAAATAACTGCAATGTGATACAGTTTAAATTCTGTTTCTTAAATACGAGGGAGTGAGTACATGATGTTGTGGATCAAGTATCTAAATTCTAAACATGAAAATCTTGTATTAAATTTTTATTTAATTTAATTCTTATCAGAGGATATCTGGAATAAAAAGCATATAATCAGAATCTGACGACTGGAAGAACTCTTAAGTGTTACCTATTCCATGGTTTATGTATCTTTTTATTAATATTTGCTAGAACTCCCAAAATCTTAATGGGTTTGTTGATGAATCATATGGAATGTGAATTATATTTCTTGAGATCAACTAAAGGTAAGCTATTAAACATCAGAAAAAATTTTTCTTTTCTAAATGTAGAGGGTGGTTTTTTTTTTAATGTAGACTGAATACATGTTTTATGAATGGCAACTATTTCATTTTCATTTTCAGATGGGGCTGGATCACTCTGAAAAAGGGTAAACACTAATGAGTGTTGACAACTCACTAAATGAACGTGTTTAAAGATATGGCTTGGAAAGCTTGGATGGTGAATACAAGCAGGATGGCTCTTAAGATTTTAATTGCTTTGGTCATGTTCAGAGACTTAATATTATGAAGTCACAATGTGATGATGTCATTTTAACTGGGGAGTAGATCTGATGATGGAAGTGGCTGGCATTTCTACCGCATCTTCAAGAGTACACTCTGCTTCCTATTTGCAACAGGTTGCACTGAACTTCCAAATCTCATCCTTAAATCCTATCGTCGAACAAAACAATATTCCTTACCATGCAGTATTCATTTCCAGGTGTGATAAAGTCTGTTGCCTGAAATTTCCCATCACAAGCCTCTAGGACTTTTTCAAAGGTTGGCTCCTCACCAAAAGTATAAATAAAAACAGACCCCTGTAAATATACCAAAAGAGAAAAAAATAATGGAACTGTTGTGTGTTCTGTTTAACAAATAGTTATTAAATGTTTACTGTAAACAAGACACTGTGTGGGAAAGTAGAGATAAACTCAGTAAGGCCCTGACCTTGAGGAGCTTAAAATCTAAATATTTGTTTTATTGATGCTTGTATTCACTCACCAATTAAAATATTCAATAAATAAGACTTCTTTTCTCCATTTCCAGGCATTTGTTTTTTAGATTACAAAACATAATTAAGCACTTTTTCCTGACTTCAAAAATTATGTCTATTTATGCTGAAAATATGAAGAATGTGGAAAACCAAAAAAGTTAAGATGAACTAAATTCTATCACATACTAGACCATGATGGGTACTAATGAAACTTTTAAATGAACTTTTGAGAAACTTGTAGAGGTGTGTCTGAAGCTGTTACTTTAAAACTTGCTTATCATTTCCAGGTTCCAAATTCACCTCTCCAAAAAAAAAAAAATCTACCCTGTACCTTATGCATCTCTGCCAAGTAACTAGACTACGGTATGGTTACTAGCAATAAGAAGTCTGCTTTAAACTGATCACAAGTTCTTCAAGTTTACTTGAGTTAAACATGAATATTTTTATTCTTGTTTATGTAAAAAAAACACAACTCTGTAAAGTCTAAAATTTGGTAGGTATTTACTGATTTTACCTTTCCTTCATTCCTTCAACAAATATGGAGTGGATACACTGTGCCAGACACAGCTCTGGATGCGGGGGCTACATCAGAGGACAGGACAGACAAAAATTCCCTGCCTTCATGCTTACATTCTACTGGGGGATTCAGTCAATAAATAAGATATCTAAATAATATATATTATAAGTTAAAGGCAATAATTGTAGAAAGAAAAAAAATAAAGCAGGGAAAGAGGATATGACATGGCAAAAGAAGAGGGTAGACTTCAAACCTGAGTGTCCAAGAAACGCTTTACTGAGAAGGTGAGTTTAGAGAAAAGACTTGAAGGAAATGAGGAAGGTATTCATGTGGACTCTGTGGGGAATGCATTCCAGACAGAAGGAGCAGCCAACACACTCTGAGGGAGGAGCACGCCTGGTCAGTACAAAAAGCTTACATCACGGACAGCATGACCGAAGCAAGGTGAACAAGAAGAGCAGCGGGAGATAAGGCCAGAGTGGGAAGCACAGTCCACATCATGAAGAACCTTGCAAAGCACAGTGAGGATTTTGGCTTTTACTCAGAATAACACAGGCAGTCACTGGAGGGCTCTGAGTAGTAGAGATGCTTCTCACCTTGGCCACTGTGTTAAGTACACACGTTTATTCTATTAAGTACTGAGAAAAGTATATTAAAATCTGTTGAGATCAGGACTTTGCTTTCCCTTGTCCTTTTGTCATGTTTTGCTTTATGTATTTTGAAGCTATTTTATTTGGTACATATATATCTTAAAAGTTTATAGACTTCTAGCGAATTTAACCTTTTACTATTCTAAAATATTAATAAACTCATTTATCCTTAGGAATGTTTTTGCCCAAAAGTCTATTTTGTCTAATATTAATATATCTCCAAAGGCTTTCTTTTGGTTAATGTTTGCATGATATATCTTTTCCTATCTTTTTATTTACTTTCAATTTTTAATTTGCTTTCAATGTTACTATATTTTTAAAAATTTACTTTCAATCTTATACTTTAGATATGTCACTTGAAAACAGTGCATAGTTAGGTTTGGCTTTTTTTAAATCAAATATGCTAATCTTTGCCTTTTAACTAGATCAACTATTCTGTTTTGCTTTAATTGTAATTACTAGTATATTTGAGATTAAACATTACACTTTAATTTATGCTTCCTATTTTTTTCTCAGTTGTTTGTGTATCTTTTCTTCTCTTTTCTTACCTTGTTTTGGGTTGCTTTCTTTAACACTTCCACTTTGCCCCTCTATTATGTGGAAATTTCATCTGATGTTTCAGTTCTTTTATGACCTTACAGGTCAGAACACGTATACTTAATTTATAAACATCAGAAGAACTTAAAACCTTTATTCTCTCAGCAGGTAAAAGAATCCACCTGCCAGTGCAGGAGACTCAGTTTTGATCCCTGAGTCTGGATGATCCCCTGGAGAAGGAAATGGCAACCTGCTCTAATATTCTTGCCTGAAAAACCCCATGGACAGAGGAGACTGGTGGGCTGCAGTCCAAAGGGTTGCAAAGAATCAGACATAGCTGAGCGACTAAGCACACAGCACACTCCTTTCCCTCCGACTTCACATTATTTTTGTTGTTTTATACAGTCAGTCTTTACTTACATTTCTCCACACATTTACTGCTGCTCTTCATTCTTTTTGCATCACAGTCTTTCCATCTGGGATCATTTTCCTTCTGCCTGAAGTACATTCTTTAGAATTTTCTCTAGTGATGATGTACTAACAAATGCTCATTTCTAAAAATGTCATTTTTCATCCCTATACTGAAAAGTATTTTCCCTGGGTATAAAACTCAGTGATAGTAACCTTATTTCACTAAATCGGGGGTCAGCAAGCTCTTTCTATAAAGGGACAACCAATAAATATTTTAGGCTTTGCAGGCCATGTAGTCTCTCACAACTACTTAATGCTACCACAGCAGTGTGAAAGCAGCCATAGACAATACATAAGCAAGTGGGTCTGACTGTGTTCCAGTAAAACTTTATTTACAGAAACAAGCAGGAGGCTGGTTTTGACCCATGGGTCCACAGTTTGCTGACCCCTGCACTACATGGAAGATATCATTCTACTCTTTCTTACTTATGTTATTGCCAAAGAAGTCAGCTGTTAGCCTAATTGAAAGTCCCTTGAAATAATCTGGTTTTCTCTCTGACTGCTTTTAAGATTTTCTCTTTGTCTTTAGTTTTCAACAACTTCACACTATTAAGTCTAGGTGTGTATATCTTTTTAATGTATCCTGCTTGGGATTCACTGGATCTCCTGAAGCTGTAAATTCATGTCTTTAGTCAGTTCTGGAAAATATCTCCTTAAATATTGCTTCTGTCTGACTCTCCTCTTTGGAATTCCAATAAAATACATGTTAGATCTTTTCACTATGTCATTCATTTCTCTTACCTCCCTTCTATATTTCCTATACTTTCATCTCTTGGGTACATTCTGAATAACTTCTTCCAGTCTATCCTCATCTATTCTCTCTCTTTGGCTGCGTCCTGTCTTCTGTCAGACATATTCATTTAATTTTTACTTTGTAAGTATATTTTTCTTCTGTATGATTTCTATTTGTGTCTTTCTCCCTTCTCTTAGGTTACATTTTTTTATTGTTTTCTGTTCTCTATAGATACTTTAAGTTTTTCATTTATTAAAACCTCATTAACACAGTTATTTTAACTTCTGGTAATTACAGAAACTTAAGTCTTTCCATATGTCAGTTTCAATTTCTTTTAGGCAAAAAAATCATTCAATTTTACTTGTAATTTATCTAAAATCATTGCCCAACAATATAAACTGCTAATCCTGTCTTAGGAGTCTTCCTAACAGCATAATTCATGTGGGCATTTGATTTTATTCTGCATTTATTTCCCTCCCTTCTTCTCTTACAGAATCTATACTCTTCTTAGAGAACCACCCATTACCACAATCTCAGTTTATGTTTGATTAGATGACAGAGGATGAGATGGTTGGATGGCATCACCGACTCAATGAGCATGAGTTTGAGTCAACTCTGGGAGTTGGTGATGAACAGGGAGGCCTGGTGTGCGGCCATCCACGGGGTCACAAAGACTTGGACATGACTGAGTGGCTGAACTGAACTAAACCGAGATGACTCTACCTAGGCGCCAAGGTTAGACACGTGATCTAGGCCTGGTCAATGAGAGTTTAGAATCCCTCTGGACATAGTAATTGACCCGGGGGTAGAAAGGTGATCCAAGTTAGAATAGTAAGTCCAGGTTACAGGACATTTTTTTTCCAACTGGTATCTTTCTACTAAGGTCACCAAGAGGATAAAAATATAAAACTGAGTTTCAGGAGGTTCTTTTGACACCATCTTCATAGAAAGGGAGGAAGTAGAGGGGAAACAGAGCTAAGACATGGCAGAAAACCAAGGCTAGTAGCAACACAGGAACACCCAGATTTACACCAATTCCTTGCTTGCTTTCAGCTATACATAAAACAAAAAGAAGAAAACAAACACTCAAGTAGTGCCTGGACTTTTAAAAAATTGGCTAATTTTTCATTTGCAAGCTAAAGAGTCCTGACTAGTAATGGATCATTATGCAGTACATTCTGCCCTTCATTCCTGTCATGCAATGATAATAATAATAATATCTGAAAATTTATCAAGAAATCACCACCTAGCATACCTTGTCTGTCTGAATCAGCAACATTCTGTAACTAGGAGAAAACATCAAATGTTCCACCGGCCTTTCAACCTCAAGAAAATCCTCTACTTTATAATCTGTATCTTTAATAAGTAAAGAATACACAAAGCCATCCTAGAAACCAAAAACAATGAGATAAATAAAGAAAATTAGTCTTAGTCCATGCATAGTACACTTTCCTCATCAAATCAGCTAAGATTTATTGATTAGCATCTACTGTTCATTTTTGGAAACATCATCTATGTTTACATTATCTGGAATGCTCTGTCTTCTTACCTTTATTTAGCCAATTTTTAACCATGTTTCCTGGTCTTTTAAAAATTTTATCTTTTTTTCTGACACATTTTTCAATTACCTAAAATGTTACTAATCTCCCCTTTCTTTGAACTTCTTTAGTATTTATCACCTTACCACATTCTTCATGATAAAGGAAATGGGGTAGATGAGGCAGAACTTACTGTGTGGCTGGTATTCAGCAGTCTCCTTACTTCAAAGGACCTTAGCCTTAATATATGTTCTTTAATCATTATTGTGTGCATTTCTTAAATCTCTGAATGACTCAAAGGTAGGGAGTGTGCTGTTTATTTCCTTTGTAGTCTCCTTTCTAGTTTTTCACACAGTGCTAGAAACAGGGCAAGTATCCAGTAAAAATGGGTTGGTTAAATATTGATCAGTAAGTTGTAAACAGTTTTAGGTTAATTTAACTACTTTCAAGAAGAACTTAAGTTATTTTTACAGTAATGAAAAGATTTTGGGCAAACTCAGCCATCATTTCTAGATTAGACCCCCTAATGACTAAGAGGAGGTATTTGTGAGATGGCTTGGTTCAGACTTGGGACCTGGGGAAAAAACGTGCATCACTCTCCATCCCTCACCAGAGCAGATGCTCCAAGCTTTCCTTTAAACTAGATTTAAAAAAAAGAAACAAACAAACCACCAAGGGTGACTTGAGAAGGACAAATGCAGACTAAATGTAGAAGGAGGTAATCCATTGCAAGGTTGGGGAGAGGAGATTATAAGCTAAATAAATGTAAATTTACAAGCTCCAGACTGCTTCCTGTTGGTGGAGCTTTCATTCTGACAGCATTTTGCAGCTGCCCTTAGGTTCCTAGAGGTGTGATCTGTGGCAAAAGAAGAGACAAAGCTAACAGTGGTTTGAGACAGCTACCAGTAGACCAGAGATTTTAGTGTAGGTCGGCTTCAAACCTTAGCATTGATTACAACCACATGGAAAAGTAACATGGTCTGGCCCCTTTTCTTACTTACGAAGCTGTGTGCCCTAAAAAATTAGAGAAAGGACTTTGGAGTTTACCATGCTGGGTTCAATTTCCAGTTTCTTCCACTTACTGGTTGGTGAACTCTGGAAGACTTAACTCCTTTGAGTGTGTGTGTGTGTGTGTGTGTGTGTGTGTGTATGCTTTGGGGTGGTGGATTTTTTAACTTGACTTTTGTTTATTTGCAATAAGCCAGACATATGATAGTTGACTATAATGTTTTCTATAATTTTGTATATATACATATTATTTGTAATAAAAAGTTTTACAATAGCATCCCCTAAAAAAAGAATTTTAATTAATAAACTGACAGAACTTGATATCACATATCATGGCTCATCATAGTAAATGGCAGCAAATAGAAATTTTGTATATTTTCTTTTTCTATTTGAAATATTTTTTAACCATTTTTAATTGAAGTATAGTTAATTTATAACATTGTGTTAGCTTCAGGTGTTTATATATTTTCTTGAAAGCAATTAATTTTGAAGAAAAAATACATTACAATTCCAGAAGCAAGCACGCCTCCCTTCTGATACGCCATGGTGACTGGACTGATGAGATTTCTTTCAACTTTGGAAAAGAAAAACAAAGTAAAACAGGACACATAATTAAATGTGCCATACAGAGTAATTAGTCTCACCTGCTTTACTAGGACTATTCATTTCTTTGTAATTCCTTTTTCTACAGATAAACTTCCTATCAGAATATGCGTGCTATGATGCCTCTCAAACAATAAAGAATAAAAGCTGCTTTGCAATGATTACTGATGATAATGATAAATTAATGATTAATGATAAATCACACAAGTTGTTATTTTTTTTTTATGTTCTGTATCATCAGATCTATGGGAGTAACATTGTGGGATTATATAGTAAATATATTTCCTTTTTTAAGGGAAGAAATTATCAGAGATTTTAAGAGGCCGGGGAAAAAAAGACAAAAACTATATCATTATTAAGCTGTGTACTTAAGATTTGCATATTTTATGGCATGTAAATTTGTACCTCAATAAATAAAACATAGTAGATTTTAAAAAGTAAAAATAAAAAAATGTTTATAAGATCTTTGTTATTAATAAAATATTTTCCTGGGGGAAAGTCATAAAAAGCACACTAGCTTTTATGTAGATAAACTGCAAGAACTACAAGAGCAAAGGCTCAAAGACACCTGCCAGACTTTCATTTATTGCATACTACCTGCTCAGCATTTTGCCAGATGCTAAGACACAGAGTGCCCTTTCCTCCAAAGACTGTTCACCTCCCAGTAGTTTCTTCTCTCTAATCCAGCTGCCACCAGAGTCATTGCTATGACTCCGGCCTAGTCTAGATGCCTGCTGCTTATAGCCACTCCTTTCCTAAACTATGGATAATTTATGTCCGCAAGCACAGTTCCAATTGGGGTACATCTCCACTCAGGAGTTGATGTTATTCCACTGTCAGAAGGATTAGGTATAAACACCTTAGTCAGACATTCAAGGTCAGATGTGGTATAACTTAGATGTCCCTTTATTCACACTTTTCTGCATAACACTTGATGCTCCAGACAAACTGGAAAACTTCTTGTTTCTCAACCTTTCCCATGTTTTCTTGTTTACACAGATACCATTGTCCAAAATTTCACCTACCCTCATCTCTGCCTGTGAACCTATCCTTTAAGGGCTATTTCAACTGCCACCCACAACATGACTTAATTTGGCATTTTTCCCTCATCTGAATTTCCATAGTACTTTATGACACTTTCCTCACATCTTGATTTTTCTGGCTGCAATTATTTGTCGACTTGTCTTATTCTCTTTAATAAAATATAAATACCTTGATTATGAGATTATATATTTGCCACCTATATCAACTTAAAGGTACCAGTGTCCTCCACGTTGTAGAAGATAGAAAACATTTATTTGGAAGTATTTTAATGTATGTATCATGAAAATGATAAGAAATAGTATATAGGATGATATTAGTGAGCAATAAAAGACCACATACAGGGACTTCCCTGGAGCTCCAGTAATTAAGATGCTCAACTTTCACTGCAAGGGGTGCAGGTTTGATCTTTGATTGGGAAACTAGGATCCCATATGCTGTGCGGTTTGGCTAAAAAAAAAGACTATATACAACTAAGTCCTAAATTGTATAAAACATTGCAAAATAGGAATTTGGAGATGAGAAATATTGTTTTATAATTCACTCTACAAACACAAAGAGGTGCCAGTTTACTCTCTAGCAATCTCTGGGATTAAACTATAGAGCCAAAGTTGAAGTCACTGTTCCTAACTTCAGAGTTGATGACTAGCGGGAAAGGCAGTCTTATTTAACTTATATGCAGAGTACATCATGCAAAATGCTGGGCTGGATGAAGCACAAGCTGGAATCAAGATTGCTGGGAGAAATATCAGTAACTTCAGATATGCAGATGACACCACCCTTATGGCAGAAAGTGAAGAAGAACTAAAGAGCCTCTTGATGAAAGTGAAAGAGAAGAGTGAAAAAGTTGGCTTAAAGCTCAACATTCAGAAAACTAAGATCATGGCATCTGGTCCCATCACCTCATGGGAAATAGATGGGGAGACAGTGGAAACAGTGTCAGACTTTATTTTTTGGGGCTCCAAAATCACTGCAGATGGTGACTGCAGCCATGAAATTAAAAGACGCTTACTCCTTGGAAGGAAAGTTATGACCAACCTAGACAGCATATTAAAAAGCAGAGACATTACTTTGCCAACAAAGGTCCGTCTAGTCAAGGCTATGGTTTTTCCAGTGGTCATGTATGGATGTGAGAGTTGGGCTATAAACAAAGCTGAGTGCCGAAGAATTGATACTTTTGAACTGTAGTGTTGGAAAAGACTCTTGAGAGTCCCTTGGACTGCAAGAAGATCCAACCAGTCTATCCTAAAGGAGATTAGTCCTGAATATTCATTGGAGGACTGATGTTGAAGCTGAAATTCCAATACTTTGGCCACCTGATATGAAGAGCTGACTCATTTGAAAAGACCCTGATGCTGGGAAAGATTGAAGGCAGGAGGAGAAGGGGACGACAGAGGATGAGATGGTTGGATGGCATCACCGACTCAATGGACATGAGTATGACCAAACTCTGGGAGTTGGTGATGGACAAGGAGGCCTGGCGTGCATGGGGTCGCAAAAAGTCAGACACGACTGAATGACTAAACTGACTGACTGGGAAGGACAGTCAGGCACAGGAGGCATTATATTTTGATAACAGCAGAGGATGAGGCTCTAACAAAGACCTGAGTTTGATGGAACCCCAGATGGGGCATCTGAGTTTGCCTGTAGGTTGGGGTGAGGATACAGAGGCTCCACAATGGATAATTTCACTAGGTAGAGAGAAAGACATGGCATCATAGACAAAGGTAACTGCCAATGCCAGCAGGCAGAATTTAGAGAGAGTATAGGAATGATAAGAACTTCTGTGAGGCTCAACTGGGAGAGCTGACACTGGAATGACAGGCCAGAAGAGAGACTTATTTTTTAGAGAGCTGAGGGATGGCATTGCAAACATGAGATCAGAGGGTGGCCCAGGCCTGGAGAGTACAGATGAGAGCAATGGGAAGAGTGAGGTGGGGGAGTGTGGCAGGCTGGGGTAGGAACCTAATGGCTTCACTTTCACAGTGGAGTGTGAGTCAGGGAACAGGAGAGGGAGTTATGAAGACGTATAGATGCAGAAGACTTGCTGTAGGATGTGGTGTTTGAGCTGGAAACTGGAGGATTCAGAGTGAAAGGTGACAAGGGAATGAGCCGGCTGTGAAATGTCTGTGAAATGATGGGAAGAAATGACTGGCTAGATCAGAAAACTCATACTAGGGAGTTGTCAGAAATAATATTAATGGCGCAGGTAAGAAAAGATCAGAGACGGCTTGAAATTAAGCCATAGTCATCCTTGAGTTAAATGTGGGAAACGGTCTTCAAGAAGGGCAGTTTGGCAGGGATGGCATGCTTGGTTTGGGTCAACTATGGATTAAGCTCAATGAAATCAGTTCTATGGTTGCTGCAGAAATCAAGGTGTGAAAGAATAAGAAGAATTAGAGTGGAAAGTGCATTGGTCAGGATGAAGAACTTGCCCTGGTAAGACTCCCTTCTCAAAGTGTCTACATGTAGCTTCACACAAGGTGATATTGGCTTCTCTGACCCAGGCCAACTCTGATGGGACCAGAAGTGGACACTTGATCTAACGAGAACAGATCAGATTCTCCCAGGAATGCTAGTGAGGCAATGGAAAGTAATTTTCAAGATGGCGGTTGGTCCTAAAGGAAGGTCTCGTGGAGAAAGAGTTACTGTGGAAGTCAGGGAAGGGCATATTAGCTGATTAAACAGGCATATTATGAGGAGGGCTTCCCAGGTGGCGCTGGTGGTAAAGAATCTGCCTGCGAATGCAGGAGACGCAAGAAATACAGGTCTGTTCCCTGGGTGGGGAAGACACCATGAAGTAAGAAATGGCAGCCCACTCCGGTATGCTTGCCTGGAAAATTTCATGGGCTGAGGACTCTGGTGGACTATAGTCCACGGGGTCACAAAGAGTCGGCCAGAACTGAGCAACTGAGCACCTATGTATGCGGAAGGATACAGCATAGTAAGAACGTGGACTCTGAAGTCTTGTTGTCTGGGTTCAGGTGTCAGCTTTATAGTTTACTAGTTATGTGAATTTGGGCATGTTTCTTAAGTTCTTAATGCCTCCATTTCTTCATCTATATCATGAAGATAAAAATGTATTTCCTTATGAACTGGTTTTAAGGATTATGTGAAATATGTATATAGAGTGAGAGTAGAAAGTCTAGAGCATAGAACACTTAATATAGGTAGCTGAAAGAAACACCCAGAGGACTCGGTAACTAACTAGACGATAAGGAAGAAGGAGGAATCAAAGATGTCTCTAGGAAGAGAAAAATACGGAATAAAACATCCATTGTCAAGTGCAAAACCATCACCAATGGCTACACTTCTGGGAAGATGAAGCAAAGCAGTTTCTTACCCCTTGGTGGTCCGTCTTCTATCTTATTAAGCACAGTTACCTTCAAGTTTTCTCCATTAACCATTAAAAGGTGACCCTCTTCACAGCCAATGTATAGGTCACTTGTTGGAGTCCAGCAGTGCATAGTTGGGTGAAGCAAAGCATACAGATCGTCTTTAGGCTTCAAGAAAAGATTTAAAACTGTGTGTTAAGACAACAGTCATGGCTTAAGAGCCAGAGAAATACTGAGCAAAAACAACTTCCAAGATGAAAACAAATTAATATGTGTCTACATGTGTTTATTGGTCCTGCCCTTTACCCAGGGCTAAACGAACTTCTTCCTGCTCCCTCTCTCTCCCTGCATTTTAATTCCCCAAATATTAGGGGGTTTTGCCAGCACATTGAGAGTTCTAACATCGTAGGTTTTTGGCAAAAGTCTTGAGTAATAATTTGTACGCTGTTTCTTGGTGGAGTTTTTGATATCTTGGATCTAAGAAAGCCATTGTTTAGCTAAAATCACCCCATTTGAGGAAGATTTGGGTCAACCTTTTCTCTCCTGGTTCATGGCAGGGGCCATGAATGTGATTTTTCTATGGAGTGGTTGGCCTCAACCCTCTGCCTAGCTCTCTGTAATGGAGAATGAGAAGAGGACCCCTGGTCTGGTTCTCAATGCCTCTCTAGTTCATGAAACATCCTATCTGACTTTGCTTCCACGGAAAACTCAGAGAGAAATGCACAAAATCTATGGAATGTACCTAGAAGAAAAACTGGCTTTGGGAACTAAAACTAAGGGTCTATGGCAAATTTTTCCTGTAAAGGACTAGGTAAAAAAGAAGCTTTGTGGACCACATAGGTCTCTGTTATATCCCTTTCTTTTTTTTTAAACACTTTAAAAAAATGTAAAGAACAGTCTTCGCTTGCTTCAAGTCACATAAAGGCAGGTGATAGTTTGCTGATCTCTGCCTTAGATGATAATATCTCAGTGCTATGTCCCCTGTAGCTTTAAACACTCCATTCAGCAGGGGAGAGGCCACTCCCTCTTTATGTCCACACAGAGCAGGCCTCCTTGTAAGTCCTGGACCACCTGGTTATATTCTCAGAGGTAAAATATTTTGGACATGTGCCCTCACCTCTGCCCCCCAGAGCACTGATTAAGATTCTGAATTCAGGGTACTATAAAGTAACATAACATGACATTCTTTCCTTTCTATTTAAACAAGTCAAACATACTACACTTTACTTTATGTATGTACATGTTTGTTTATAACAAAATATTTAGTACTATCTGAGGTTTTTTTTTAATGCTATACTATTATTTAGAATTGCATTAGCTACAACATAACCATATTACCCATATTCCCCATACCATATTCCCCAACCATGAGACCTATTCCAACTTCCGCAGCTTTATTTTTCTCTCACAGCACTTTCAAAACATAATATTTTATTTATGTATATATGTATTTATGTCTTTGTTTTCTTTAGGCATCCTTATAGCCATAGGAACAGAAAACTTTTTTAATAAGCTAATGGCCAAGTTAATAGAATTCTTATATTCTTTGAGTGATTCATATTTGTTTCATTCATTTATTCACTCATCTACGAAATATTTACATATCATGCACTGTTCTAAGCACAGGGATGTAGCAAAGAACAAAACAAACCAAAGAAAAAAAATCTACCCTCATGGGACTTAATCCTGGTGAGGGAAAACAGAGCAAAAAGAAATTAAGGAAAAAAATTATATATATATATGTATATATATATATACATAAATAAAATATTATGTGTTGAAAGTGCTGTGAGAGAAAAATAAAGCGGCGGAAGTTGGAATAGGTCTCATGGTTGGAGAATATGGTAAACCCATATAAATAGCCATTTTTTCCATTCAAAACTCTTGATAATGCAGGTCACCACTGTAATAAATACTCAATTATTTAAATAGCATATATTGCTCTTTAATTTAGGAAAGGTAAAGCAGGTGTAGCCCTGCCAAAGTAATTATTCTATTGGATTCCCAACTGATACAAATTTCTGCATAATTAGTATTTCCACAAACATTTACTGGGTGTTGACTATATACCATGTATTGTACCAGAGAGATCTCTTGTATTGATGACTGTCCCTCTTCTCAATAGGATAATCGCCTACTGAGGGAGAAGTAGTATCAACAAACATCAGAATCAGAAAACATGGTAGTCTATAGCAGAAACATATTTATTTATTTTGTTTTTGTTTGTTTGTTTCAGAAACATATTTAAATATTACAAGAGAACCTACAAGAAAGCAATTTGTTCTTCCTGATGGAGTGAAGGAAGTGGACAGAGAGAGAATTGTCATTTGAGATGGACCATGAAATATGAAAGCAGAAGTGCTTCGTGTATAGAAGCACTTCTTATTGTAAGTTTTTTAAAAGGATAGGTCATCTTGTCATCTTTAATGTATTATTGGTCTATTTCATGCCCTCATAGCCTTGGATCCTTAGAAAATAAAACTTGAGTCACAATTTGGCCACCCAGTGGGCATAAAGAAAGGGGCAAAATCATTCAAAAGGATTAAACTGTTGCTGATCAATGACATTTTTGTGGTATCTAACTGCGATTTGACTCAGAGGAAAAAGAGTTACTGACTACCATTATTTAATCATCATAATTTAAAAGTTGCCTGTTTGTCTTGATGACATTTGACTATAAATCACAAAAAGAAAGGCTCTTTCCTAGTATGGCAATGAACTTGAAAAATCTTTTAAAAACCACACATATCTGGTTCTCATAATGTTAGTGAACATATATGCCTCAGAGGGTGAGGATTAAAACTTGGAATTTTCTTGCCTTAGTATATTAAACTAGTACTGTGTGTAGTTTTATTTAAGATAAACCTGGGCTTGTCTTCCTATTATTTTCTTTCATCAATAAATATGTTCTGTGCCATTTAAAAATGAATGTGATATTACATGGTGTTAGCAGAAAGAATAATTTTCAATTATGGAAATTGAAAATTTTCAAAGAACAGGTGCCAATAGTGTTTAAAAGTATTTGTTGGTAACACCATATCCTTGCCCAGTCCTCTGGAATCAAACATTTTGATCACTTGAAGACCAAACAGAAAATACTCAAGCCCAACTTAATATTGCTTTAGAAAACGTAAGCATCTGAATATGTGTCAGAATATTTGAGCTTTAAGAGGAATTTCAATTTAGCAATGTTTTCTCAAGGTCAATGGAAAAAGAAAACTGGACACTTCAGATTAAATTCACTATCTTGGATCCAATTTCTGCCCAGATAACATCTGCCTTTGATTTCCCCGTGCTACTACTGGATACCATTTCTAATGCCCCAAATAAGTTGTGTAATGTGATGCTGGCCCATTTAAAGACCTATTGTGTGCTTTTCTAGTGTTAGCTATAACGGAGATAAGGGGACTATTTAATATTTGTAATTTTATAAAAATCCACGTTTGTCAATTTTTAAGACCTTTAAATAGGCCAAATCCTTACTAATTTCTTTGCCATTGGTACTGGGCCACAAGAAATTTCATTCAAAGGAATAGAATCAAGACATTTGAGATCTAAGTTTAGTTACACTTTCACTCGTATAGATATTACTGAATTTGTTAGCAATTTTTTTCACCTTATTTATCTATAAGATGAAAGGAGTAAATAGTGGCAAAATTGACTTCTAATTTAAATGTAAAATAAATGGCTTTAGTAACAGTCCCTGTATAATTTAGAGATGTCAAACTTTAATATTAAATTTCTGTTTTCAGGAAAAAATTGAAATGTACTGAGTTGCAAAAGTCCTAGGAAAGAAATATGTCTATTATGTTTATTATATGTCTAATATGTCATATGTTTATTATGAGCATTTTTTAAAAATGGTAACTCCATATTTAAGTATTTAAAGAAGGCATTTCTGTACTATTAAAATTATAGGCATTTCCTGTACTATTAAAAGAAGTAGCTATTTTCTATAATTTGAAAAAGTGAATAATTGTCATCCTTTAGAGGAAATACTAAGAGCATACAATCTTTTCTCTTACTTGAAACTTCTTAAATGATAAGAACAATTGCCTGAGTTTTAAATGCTTTACGTAGGATCCATGATGTTGGTACACAGGGTGAATGATGGGGTTGAAATAGTTGAAAATGTGGCTTCTTTGGTATCAAAAACTGAACATAGAAACATATTTTCCAGTTGTAAATCTTGAAGGCTGACATGTTTGGTTTTACTTTGCTGCCCCACTGTGGCTGAGTGTGGTTGCATTTCCAAGGCTAAGACTTGGACTATTAACAGGAATTAGTTATCTTCTGTAATCAGGAAAAGTGAATAATAGTTATCCTTTAGAAGAAATACTATAAGCATACAAATTTTGCTTGCCAGAGACTTTTTCATAACCAAATTATCACATGGAACCATTTGAAACATCCGGAGCTTAACGCTCTGCAGCGGTCAGAAGCATTTGGGGATCTCTACTTCCACTCTCCTTGGCTTAGAGCTTTCACACACGTGTTCACACAATGCAGGTCCCAGAGGCGCAGCAGAATCCAGCTCCTTACTTTCATCCCAAAGACCCTACAGGTGTCACTCTCTGCTCCCGGCCTCCTTCTTGACCATCACTGTGCCTTACTCCCCAGCTCCCTGCTCACTGTGCTCCAGCCACAGGATTCTCTTCTCAGCTCCTCAAGAATACTGAATTTTCTCTCCCCAGGGCCTTCACACATGCAGTTCCCTCTGCCTGAACACTCTTTACCCTGCTTATAGCAGGAGGAAGCCCCCTCGTCCTTCAGAGTCATCTCTCCAAAGGCCTTCCTTGAGCAGCGTGTTGATCTCCCCCTCACCTCCACTCCCATCTCCCATTTATCCTGTTATAACATTTGCCACATTTTGCAACGATTCACTGTATCTCTTTACTTTCGGTACTGATGTCTTTGTCTCTGTCTCCCTAATAGAATGGATGCTCTGAGAGGTAGGTCTATGCCTGGTTGGTCACCACATGACCCTGTTGTCTAAAACTGTGACTGTTATACAAAAGGAGCTTGATAAGTATCTGTTGAATAAAAAAAAAAAAAAGAGTAACTGTTGGCCCACTCCCTTATGAAACTTTCTTCCACTGTTTTCCAGGGCCTCATTCTCTCCTGGATTTTCTCCTATTTCTGTGACTGCTCCTCCTCAGACTCCACTTCTTCCTCCTGTCTTTTGCAGACATTTTCCTCTCTGGCTCTCTTCCCTGACACCCTCTCCTCCCCTTTCCCTCACCCCCTCCCCATTCCCCCACCCCATGCTCCATGCTCCCACTACCCTCTCTGCAGTAATGACTCTTATTTTGTCTCCTGCCCTGCCTTCTCTCTGAGGCTAGGTCCACGTTGCCCGCTTCCACCTGGCATCTCCACCTGGAGGCCACCCAACACTCCAAAGTCAGTATGTCCAACACTGAAATCACAGCTGGGCCTCCTGCTTCAGTTAGCAAGGGCCATCATCTTCCCAGTCACTCAAACTCAGAACTCCAGAGCCTTCATCTCTCATGGTCTCCAGGGTTAATCTGTAATAAAAACCAGGAAGACCCTCTCTATCTTGCCTATCTCACGGGATGGTCATGAAAGCCAACAGGCACACAAGGAGAGGGGCCAGGTCATTACCCTGAAACTTTCTGCCTCTTCACCCACGAGTCCGGCGATGGCCGACACGGGGAGCACAGGTCCATAGATAGGATCCTTGGGCAACGACTGGGGAAAAATGACATCTGTCTCGTTAAAAAATGATCCATCTTCCAAAGGCAGTTTTACTGACCTGAAGGGGAAAAAAGACGTCAGAATAATCAGTTCTAACCAAGAGGGTTTGCTGAATTGTGAGAATTTTTATTTCAAAATTTCAAGAGAATATCATAATCTAGAATTAATGAGAAATTTCTCAAATTTTAAATATTGGTAACTAACTCAAATAAAAACACAAGGACCAAAATTAACATACATGTAGATTATTCTCAGCTACCTTTACAACTTCTGGCATCAGGAATTTATTTTCAGATTTACCATATATTTCCTTTTAAACCATAACATGGTTATAAAGATGAGTTTAGAGAACTCATGGCTTTATGTGTTAAATTCAAAACATTCTTGGTTCTGTTTTATGAATGATGAATAATTTTGAAAAATCATCATGCAAAAATAGTATTTACCACTCAAATGTAAGGCTTAACTAAGTATTTTCAAATCCTGCTTGTTTTCTGATCCAGGACAATCCACTTACTTATGTCTCTCATTTTATTTTCTTATAGAACAACTCAACATTCAGAACTAGAGAAGAATATTCAAGGGAAGCAAAAGAAAATGTGATAAATTACTTGCCTGCCCTGGCAAAGATCTGATAGCGGCATTATCCACTTTATGAAAAGGTACAGTGTTGTCAATTCTTCCCTGAGACAGATTTGGCTATTCAATGGATTCTCTTAAAAATGAAATTGAGACATAAAGAATACTAAGGAGAAAGAAGAGTCTCTCTTAGGGTTCTCCAGTTTGAAAACTTTATTAACTAGCTTTACATTTTTCTTTAAGAAGGCAGGTTTTCAAAATCTGCAACTTCAAGAATATGCATGTCCAATGTCCCCTTAGTCTTTGCCTTTGGGGAGTGTGGAGAGAATGGTAGGCTCAGGACCATCTTAAGTCTTTAAACTCTTTTCAACAAAGGTACCATGATCATCAACTATCACCAGGGCATTGGTCTTTGAACTTCTCTTTGACCCAGTCCTATTGAAATAGGCAATTCCATGACTTCACTACATGCAACAACTCTTTTGTTTATAGACAATGTGGCTGAAGATATAATCTATACACTTCTCATATCTAAAATGTTCTTATTTTTGAGATTTCAATTGGGTATCAAAGTAATAGGAACAAAAAGCAATAACATGATCTTTTAGAAATACACATATATTCAATACAATAGGCATATTTTGAAATGGCAAGAGTAAATACAATTTTGGAAAATTAAACCATGTTGGAATAAGGTTGATATTTAAACTCGATGGGAAATCAAGTTAAAGAGAAGCCTTTCAAAATGCAACCAACCACTCCAAAGTATGGAAAAAGATGTTTTAAGATGTGTGTTTAAAAAAAAAAAGATATGTGAATAAAGCCATTTAATTCACTAAATTGGCCCCATCCTGTTACATGAATGCAAACAAAAATCCCTACTTTGCTATGTTGTAATGAAGTCTCTTACTTTGCTTTGAGAAAATGTTCCTGGTTACTTCTTTCGATGGTCCACACAGTTACTGCACTTGGGCTTGACAAGCACAGCTGGTGCCAGTTCATGGGGTTAAAAGTCATCTGGCTCACATCTACACCAGGTTGTGACTTCCTGCACAAAATGACACCTGATTCCCAGTTCCTGAGACAAAATTGAGTTTGGTGAAAAATAATTCATTTGAATTTCATGTCTTAAGAACACATATCTAATTATTGGGTTGGCCATAAAGTTCATTCAGGCTTTTCCATAAGAGAGAATGCAAACCTGAATGAATTTTTGGCCATCCCCAAAACTTGAGAACAACTTACATAACATGAGAATTTATTATATAATTTATTAATCTATTATCTTAATATCAAGGTTAAAATAATTATGCTTATAATTATAGTATACCCTCCTAGAAAAGCAAGACAGTTATTTTAAAACATTACTCTGCAATGTGCTACTAAGGCTGTTTCATGCTCCTTATCAAATTTGGATTTCACCCATTCATATCTAGAAAGTGCAAAGTACCATCACATGTGCTGAAAAGTGTAGGCGCCTAAATCGCTTATTACTACAGATGAGTACTCCTTGTAAGTTGAGATGCCCTGTATGCACTGATGGCAGCTGATCATTTACTGAGTTTTAAAAATTACAGTAGGCGCCCAGGTGGCTCAGCACTAAAGAATCCACTTGCCAATGCAGGAGATGCGGGTTCAGTCCCTGGGTCGGGAAGATCCCCTGGAGAAGGAAATGGCAACCCACTCCAGTATTCTTGCCTGGGAAATCCCATGGACAGAGCAGCCTGGCGGGCTGCAGTCCACGGGGTCTCAGAGAGTCAGACACGACTTAGGGACTAAACCACTACCACCTGTCCCTGGAAGATCCCATAGGGTTATCCTCGGCTGCATTGTTTGGTTTTTGCCCCTTTAACAACAAACAAAAACCATAATACTAGTACAGATTAATTCATTTACCCACTTAAGAAAATATCTTGAATGCCTATCATGAGCAAGGTCCTTTGCTAGATAAAATAAACAGAAGAAAAATTCACACGAGCTGTCCCCTCACAAGAGGGACTGTCTGTGTTCACAGTATTCTACACAGCCTCTCAGAAGACCACCTGTGCGACAGGGCAGCTAAGTGGTGTCCAGCTGATTACTGTGCGCTCACATTGGCTCTCTTCCTTCCCTCCCCCTTTCTAGCTTGCCTCTTTCCTGGAACTGTACTCTCTCCTAAAGAAGGGGCATGTGAGTGTCTGCCTCAGGCTCTGCTTTCTGCAGCATCCAGGCTCAGGTGCGTTCTGGAACCTCCATGCCCCTGTCCGTCCTTGCTCCATGACTGCTCCTTCTGAATGTCCTATGAGGCCCTTTTCCCCTTTCAGTCCCTTTTACTGGCGTTCCTCTAGGTTCTGTTCAAGGTTCTCTGTAGGTGCTCTATCCACTTTCAGCACTCTGACTACTAATCTAACAACTCCCAAATGTTAACCTCCAGCACTCTCTCCTGAGCTCTGGTCCCAGCTATCCAGGACAGAGGCAAACTGCGTCTCTCAGAATCTATTCTCCATTTCTCCTTCCTAGTAACAGAATCCCCTAGTTTTTAACCAGGTACATGGTCACCCACAGTGAGGACCATATTTCCCAGCATGCTTTGTAGCTCCATGTGGCTTGTGATTAAGCTGGCCAGCGGGCTCTAAGTGGTAGTGATGCATGCAGTTCCCACTCTATGTGTCCAACAAAGGTTTGTGCTCTCCCCATTATGCTTTTCCCTTCCATGTGGCTCCCAAAAATTTATGGCTGGTGCCCCACTTTAGACTAGAGATGACGGCAACACTCTAGGAGTATAACAACAGAATAGGGGAGACAGATCCCAGACACTGGTAAACCACCAGATCAGCCACGGGCTGCTCATATCCAAACTGCTACATGGGAGGAAAAAAAAACTCCTGTCTTGTTTAGGCCATCTCTTTAAGGTGATTTGGGTTTCTGTAGCAGCAACTGAGCCTTAATCCTAACTGATATATCAACTGCCAACTAGACATCATCATTTCTTTATCTCAGGCACCCTCAACTCAGCTTGTCCCAACTCATCTTCCCCAATCGCCTCTTCCAACCTCCCTCCACCCAAGCCTTCTATATTTTTCTGAAAAGTACCATCATGTCCCCAAGTTTCCCAAGTCACAACTCTGGGTAAAACCCTCAACTGTCCCTCTCACTCAGCATCATGCCCAACATTTAGTCAGTCACCAAGCCCAATGGTGCTGCCTCCTAAACACCTCCCAAATATGTCCACTTTCCTGCATCCCTATGCTCACTATTCCAGTCCATGCCATGACTATCTCTCATCTGGACCACCAAAGCTTCCTAATTGATGTTCTTTCCTTGATGCGACCAGATCTTTATATGCAGACTGATCATGTCATTTTCACATCCCTGGTAAAAGTCCTTAATAGATTCCCATTGCCTCTATGATAAAGGATGTGCCAACTTGCATGCCTTATACAGAGGATGAGTATCCTTTTGCATTAATTATTAATAACACAACCCTTTCATTCTCACAAGTGTCCAGATTTGGATGACAAACTCCATGGTCACATGTTTACAAGGCTGATCACACACTGGCCTCACACTGTCCCTTTTGGCTTGCCTCTCATGGCTGGTCTCTTGTTTACAACATTACGAACTCTTAATTAAATCTTCAAATTTGCCATATTTTCTGACCTCAAGGCCTTTGTGCATGCCTTTTCTCTGCTTAGAATCTTCTTCCTTCTCCTCTTCACAAATCTCATTCCTACTCATCTCTTAAGTATTGCTATGGATTGATTTGTGTCTCCCACAACTCACAGGTTAAAGGTCCTCACCCTCAGTATCTCAGAGTGTGACCTTATTTGGAAGGAGGGTCTTTCCTAAATGAAATGAAGTCATTTAGTGTGGCTCGACTCCAATATGATTAGTAAACTTATAAAAGGGGAAATTAAGAGACAGATATACAAACAAGGAGAACACCATGTGAACACGAGGACAGTTATTCACAATCAGGAACAGATTCTCCGTCATAGCCCTCAGCAGGAATCAATTCTGCTGACATCTTGATCTCAGATTTCTGCCCTCTGGAACTGAGACAATAAATTTTTGTGGTTAAACCACTCAGTTTGTGGTACTGTGTTAATGGCAGCCCTAGCAAGCTAAAACAAACATTAACAGGTGAGTGAGTAAACAGACTGTGCTATATACCATGGAATACAAAGGAATGAACTACCGAAACACAGCAGCATGGGAGAATTTAAAAATAACTGTGCAGCATGGAAGAAGTCAGATTAAAAAAATAGTATATAATGTATATGCAATTCTATAAAATGCAAACTAACTCAGAGTGAGAGAAAATACACCACTGGTCCCCCCAGGGGTGAAGGCAGGGAAGCAGTGGTATACAGGTATGTGTGCCCACTTAGTCATGGCTGACTCTATGCGGCCCCAGGGCTCATAGCCCACCAGGCTTCTCTGTCCATGGGATTTCCCAGGCAAGAATATTGGAGTGGGTTGCTGTTTCCTTCTCCAGGGGATCTCCCCAACACAGGGATCAATCCTGAGTCTCTTGTGTCCCCTGCATTGCCAGGTGGATGCTTTACCCTGGGAAGCCAGGTATGTGTGGCATACCTAGGTCTGAAGGAAGGATCTGAAGGAGCACAGGAAAACTTTTGGAGATGATGGATATATTCATCATCCTGATCATGGTGATGGTTTCATGAATAAGTCAAAAGTCATCAAGTTGTGTATATATATAGTTTATTATATATCAATTATATCTTAGTAAAGTTGTTTTATTTTTTTTAAAGTTACTCTACATAAACTAAATGTTCTCTAAATCTAGATTATTACATTCTTCCATGAGAAATGCTGGTGTGTGTGTGTGTGAGCACTCAGTGATATCTAACTCTTTGCAACCCCATGGACTGACACCCACCAGGCTCCTCTGTCCATGGGACTTTCCAGGCAAGAACACTGGAGTGGGTTGCCATTTCCTTCTCCAGGGGACCTTCCCCACCCAGGGACTGAATCCAAGTTTCTTGCGTCTCCTGCATTGGCAGGTGGCTTCTTTAACAGCCGGGTCACCACAGAAGCCCCGAGAAAAGCTGGTATGTAAAGGGTATTCTCAATCATCGTTGGAGCATTCCATATTTCACCTTAATAAGACAAATTTCCCCCAGAAGGAGTTTATATTATGGATTGAACAGTGAGTGCATCTTTGAAGGTAGCCACATGAAGTGACCCAGCAAAGACCAGACATGTGTCTTATTAACAAGTATTGTCTTTACAGCTGGAAAATGGGGTATGATGTTCTACTCTTTGAACATATAACTGTTCTAATGTGCCTAAAAATAATTACTTCAAACTGAGCTCTAATATAGCGCCATCTTAATTTCAACATTAGTGGAAACTATAAAATAATTCAAAGGTATCATATGATTTAAAAAACGATAAAACTTTATGTAATTATCCATGTATTCTTTACCTGACAAAGGAATATTATAACACATTAATAAGAAGAGAAAGATAGTAATTAATCTCTTTTAGCTTTTGCCCTGCCAATTTGCTGCCTGAAAGTGGTGATTATATTAAGCCAATGATTAGGACTTTTGTTTCACTTTTCCTTGTTCCAGATTTTTCATGTAGATATCTTTTGATACAATCTAGAAGGACAAGATTAAAATGTGACCCAGTGAAAAGAATTCTGCAGGAGGCTGCAACTTACCAGAGGGCCAGTTCAAATTCTGGGAGGGAGGAGTAACTAGCCAGGTAGGTGCCACAGTAACTGAAGGAAAGTAAAGTGTAGTCTAGGAGAACATTGCCTATAATATAAAAAACCATTATAAGGATTTAATCAGGTTCAGATTAACTGTAGTCTTATAGTTTAATTTCCCTTACTTAATAATTTTTACATAATTCAAAAGCTTTGGCCCGTAGAATAAGAGATGTCTTAACTGACATCTAACACTATTAATAGAAAGTTATGAGCACAGTTAAGATCCATTTAAAAAATATTTTAGAGTGAATTAAGCCATGAGGTTGCTGCCTCATGACTTCAGTGCAAAATTAAGTACACTGCACCATATATGTCCCCATGTGACTTGAAATGGCCCAAGAAAAAATACATGAAACATGGTAATTAGAAAAGTTATTCATTCGAACAACTTGGAAAACCCTGAAGAGTTGTAATAATTCTAGCTTGCTTCCACATCTCTGTCCTGTAGGTCATATCTGGCCCTTAGCTTAATATCTTTCAGTCTTTAGAACAACTTTAAAAAGTTCTTTTCTCATTTGTACCTGCAGCTGAAGATATGAAACATGACTTTAAAAGTCTTAGCAACATGTTTAAAATGTGCATAGTGAGGATGCTAATACAGGGAAGTATCTGCTTCTGCCTTCCTTATATGTGAGGCTCTGTTTTCCCCTCCTTTAGCTGCTGCCCCTCAGTGTGGTTCCATAGATGCAAGCTTTGCCTTCTATGTTTGTCTTCTTTACATTCATGTCTTTGTATCACTTTTTACCTCAACCTTCAACAACAATAACAAAAATGTTATCAATTTAACACTCTGCCTAGCAATTATAAGCTTTAAAAAAACTGTGACCTTGATGAGCAGAAAAACTTCATCTCAGTTTAAGAAACTCTTTTAAATGAATGTTGAAAAATAAATAAAATGAATATTGAGATGGAAGATTTTATGCTTTTGGACATTGCTAGTCTTGTGGTTTGGACAAGTTCTTTTTCCACTGCTCTTTCAGAATATGTTTTTTTTTCTTTATCGTTTCATAAATGTTCTGAAAATACTTGGTCATATTTGTTCAAATATTTCCCTCAGTTTATTATTTGCTTTTTAATTTTTATGGTATTTTAGATGTTCACAAGTTTTAAATTTGTATGTAATCAAAAATATGTCTATTTTAAGTTGTATCCTTTATGTAAAAAGTTCTTCTCCATCCTCAAATTATTTCAATTTTCCACCACATATATTCTACTTTTCGATAGGTTTTGTTGTTTATCGTGACCTCTTATTTTTGTTTGATATAAGTTTTGGTGTACAGAATGATAACAATGAGTACCTAACTTGATACTTCCGTTCTAATAAGTTTTCTTAACACATCATTGAATAATCCAGATCATCTATTGTGTGTGTGTGTGCATGTCTGGGAGCATCTTCATCATATACTTAGCTTTATAAATCCCAGAGCCTGTCCCCAGCCTTCAACTCTTCCACTGATGGAGTGATCCCTACACCAATACCACAATCTACCTGTCTACAGCACCATTATACTGTAATGGGCCCTTGGCCTTGACTTTAAGCTCTTTCAAATTATTCTCATTCTCTACTTTTGTTCTGCAAGAACATTAATTTAAGTACTCCTGGCTCTCTAAAACATGATAAACCTATGATTTACATTCTGTGAAGAATATGAGAAATATAGTTACAATAACTATAATTTTCATGCAGGAATATGCCTCTTTATGTTTAAATATTTTATATCAGTGATTTTTATGTTTTTCTTCATTGAGGCAGTCACATTTCTTCCTTGAAGCATTTCTAAGTGTTTAAATCTTCCAATTGCATTGATATTTATTTTGAAATCAGCATCTTACTGAGCATTATTTCATTAGTCTTAGTACACTATTATCTATTAACTCCTTTTCCATAGGTATTATTTTTCAGTTTCAAATCTGTTGCATTGGCTGGAAGCTCCAAGTTGGTTTTAATATTAGTGGTAACAACAGGTATCCTCAGTGACTTAGTCCTAACTTAAATTGTAAATGCTTTTAGAGTTTCATTATTTAACATGAATGCTGGCTATTGGTTTGAATTAACTTTCATTGCTTGAACAGGGCAACATCCAAATAATAAATCTTGGGGAAATTTTAAAGAAGGGTAGTTACATTCATGTACTGGCATACTTTGGAGATTATGGGTTTGGCTTCAGACCAGTGCAATAGAGCAAATATTGCATAAAGAAAGTCACATGAATTTTTTGGTTTCCCAGTACATGTAAAAGTTATATTTATATGTAGTCTAGTAAGTGTGCAATAGAATTATGTTTTTAAAATGTACCTTTCTTAATTTTAAAATATTCTATTACCAAAAGATGGGGCTTCCCTGATAGCTCAGCTGGTAAAGAATCTACCTGCAATTCAGGAGACTC